ACCTTCCTTCATCCTAATCTGATGATACCCACTCTTTAAATCAATTTTAGTGAATATGCAAGAACCATGCAGTTCATCTAACATGTCATCTAATCTAGGAATAGGGTGACGATACTTTACAGTGATTTTGTTGATAGCGTGACAATCAACGCACATACACCAAGTCCCATCCTTCTTAGGCACAAGTAGCACTGGAACTGCACATGGACTCATGCTTTCTCTCACATGCCCCTTCTTCATGAGTTCTTCAACCTACTTTTAAAGTTCTTTCATCTCATTGGGGTTGCTTCAATATGCTGGTCGGTTTGAAATTGTTGCAGCTAGAATGAAGTCAATCTGATGCTCAATTCCTCTTATTGGTGGTAAATCATTAGGGATGTCTTCTAGAAACACGTCCTTGAAGTCCTGCAAAAAAGATTTAACAATACTAGGCAAAGAATCATTAAGTTCGTTAGTGTTGAAATAAGCATCTTTATACAGAAGCACAAACATAGGTTGCTTTGCAAAGAACGCAACCTTGACATCACTTTCTTTTGCATAAATACTCACTAATTTTCTCTCTTTGTTTTCAGCACTCTCAATCTTTTCTCTCTTTTTGGACTCTTTTTGGACTCTTTTTCTGCTGTTTTCTCTTTGTTTTTCATACCCTCAAGCTCACTTTCATTTCTTAGCTCACTCTCTTTTTTTACTCTCAGTTGATCCTCATAAACCTGCCTTGGACTCAATGGTGCAAGAGTAATTGTTTTCCCCCCCATGAGAAATGAATAGTGATTTTTGAAGCCATCATGTGTTACCCTCCTATCATATTGCCATGGTCTACCTAAAAGTAAATGTCCAGCATGCATAGGAACCACGTCACAAAGTACCTCATCCTTATATCGTCCAATAGAGAATGAAACCAAAACTTGCTTATTTACCTTGATTTCTCCACAATCATTTAACCATTGTAGCTTATATGGCCTTGGATGCTTCGTCATAGGTAAATTAAGCTTTTCAACTAAAATAGTGCTAGCTACATTAGTACAACTACCACCATCAATAATCACACTACATACCTTGTTTTTGACATGGCACCTCATGTGAAATATATTGTCATGTTGTACTTCATCATCTTCTTTAGCTTGCAGATTCAAAGCTCGCCTAGTGACGAGCAGTCCTCCATCAACAGCATATTCCACACCATCATTAGCATCTTCTAATGGTGGCATAGATTCATCATTAGATTCACCCTCGGTTTCAATTTCTCCATCTTCTCTCAAGATCATCGTGTGCTTATTAGGACATTGCGATGCAACATGCCCCCTTCCTAAGCATCGAAAACCCTTGATGTCTCGGTTTTTGCCTTGTGTATTATCTGTTTTACTCTTCTCATTGTTGCCAACTTCTTTTGACTTAGATGCTGCGGCTTAAAAACAGAATTTTCTTCCTTTTTGCTCCAATTCAGTTTCCAAGAAGATGAGGAACTTGAATTTTGCCCAGTTCTAGTGGTGGCTCCTTTACGCTTGAGTTTCCATTCTACTTTCATCACCATATGCACCATATCTTCCAATTCCACATAATGCTGTAACTCCACCACATTAGCTATATCATGATTTAAGCCATGCAAAAACCGTGCCATAGTTGCTTCTCTGTCCTCTTCCACATTCGCTCTAACCATTGCAATTTTCATCTCTTTGTGATAATCCTCAACGCTTTTGGACCCTTGAGTAAGGCCCTGCAATCGTTGATAGAGATCACGGTGGTAGTGACTAGGAACAAATCGTTTTCTCATCACAGCTTTCATCTCTTCCCAAGTGTCAACATGATGCTCTTGATTTCTACGTCGACTAAGCACAAGCTGATCCCACCACACCACAGCATAATCAGTAAATTCCACCGCCGCTAGTTTCACCTTTTTCTCCTTAGAATAGTTATGGCAATCAAACACCAATTCCACCTTCTTTTCCCACTCCAAATACACATCTAGATCATTCTTGCCTTGAAACGGAGGAATCTTCATCTAGATGCTACCTAAGTCACGATCTTGCCAATCTCCCCACCTTGTTAGATTTTGCTCTCTTTGGCCCCCTCTACCTCTCGTAATTCTGTCCATGCTGAAATTTGAGTTATGGGCGTCATTGTTGAATGCATCTTTATAATCATCATCGAAATTATCATTAGCATCATTCCTATGCAAATTCGGACTTCCATTCTGTGTTTGGTATAACTTGGCTATCGCTGCATCTTACTTCTCCATTTTGTCTTTAATCTCACCAAACATGATGTCCAGCCTTTGAAATTGTTGTTGCATTGCTTTAAGCATGAAGGATTCATCCACATGGTGGCTTCTAGTGGTTGATTTTTCATCACTACTTGACATGATTGAAACCTGCAACAAATGTTAGAAACAGAAGAATAAAAAGGACCTCACAACACTCCCTTATGTGTTTCACTCCACTCTCTCACAGAATGGCACTCAACGCTCGTGTTTTACACACTGTAAACTTGGCTTTTCTCTCAAGTGTTGCTCACACCTCTTGCCTTTTTCCCTCACTCAACTTTCCTCTTTCAGTTCGTTATTGAACTAAACAAGCTCAATTCAAGTTATTTTGCAGCAATC